TCTGATGAATCAATTTATCAGGAAAAGTAAAAAAGTGTTCCGGTTGCTGTCTCACGGTAGAAATTTCTGCTCACAACACTCTTTTTGACGTTCGCCTATTCACCACCAGAGGCTGAAACGATCGCTTGGTTTCTATTGGATTCACCCAACCGGTGGAAACTAACGATTTTAAATTGGCTCCAAGTCCCCGGCAAGGTGACAGATAACCTTAGTTTCACGTACCCACTTGCAAATAGTAGATGTCGCCACCAGCGTTGCCAGATTGTTTTCATGATTATCGGTATCAAATGATTAAAAACTCGGTATTTATCGGTATTCACTATTTTTTTATTTGACTAAAATTGAAAGATGTACTTTCTATGTGAGTCGGAAGAAACTTCTGGGAAAGATTTGAATTAGTCTCTTAATGGTACCAACAAAGCTTCCAAAGAAGATCTTGCGGAGGAAGTTTGAAGGAAGTTCTAAAATATGTCTAACAAACATCCAATGGGGGACCTCCCAAGACAAATATTGAGAAACTTCTGGTAGAATTTTTCAGAAACTTTCGGAAAAAAAGGCCAGAAGCCAGAAAAGTTTGGAAATCGGAAGCCAATCCCGGAGGAGCCATTTCCAGGGGAAGTTAGGAGAAGCTCGGAAAAACCTTCCAATAAGGCAGAAAAAAAACCTACGGAGAGTGACTTATGGAGAAACTTCCAGAGGAAGACGAAATAAACTTCTGGGAGAGCTCGATAGCTACATCCGGTAGAACTTTCATTGAACTTCTTGGAGAAGACGGAAGAAACTTCCAGGAGACACTGGGAGAATCTTCCTAAGGTAGATTGGATGAACATTCTGGAAAAAGTCGGACGCCAGAGGACATACGGAACAGTCAACTACTTCAAGGAGAAGATGGGAAAATATCTGGAAATAATAGATTTCTGGGGGATGTTAGCACAATATTCTCTGAAGTTCCTCACATGCTCTATTGTTTGCACATCGGAATATCTCATACTCGGAACTCCTTGAAAGTTCATACAATTTTCTTAAATTTAATGGGGCTGTTTTGAAGTTCTCTGATCATCCTCAAAGTACTTGTAACTTCCTTGATTATTATGGATCCACAGGAAAATCTCTTATCTTCTGTAAAAGTCTTTTTTAGGACTTTCATTTTATTTTATTTTTGAAATTAATGAACATCAGCATTAAAGTTCCCTGAACTTCCCGCTATTTTTTTTTTAAAGTCCTCGAAACAGCCGATAAAAACACAGAACTTTCCTTAAATGTTCTCACAATTTTATAATGTTCACATAACTTCCCTTACGTTACCAAAATTTTCATGAACTCTCGGATCTTAACTGAAGTTTTCGGAACTTATTTAAAGGTTCAGAAATTTCCTTGAATTTATTTGTACTAATGCTTCCCTAAAGTTAACTCAATTCCACAATAAAATTTCTTTGAAGTTCTTTGGGCTTGTGAAGTTTCCAAAATATTTCAGTTTCCTTAAGTTCATTGGAGTTCTCTGGGCTTTCCTGAGATTTCCGGGTTCTTGGATTTGAACAGAAGTTGATGAAACTGTCTTTAATTTATCTGAACCTACCCAAAAGTCCGAACTATTCTGAAGTTGAAACTAATGGAACCACAATAAGACTCTGGAAGCATTTCTGAAGTTCCGGAGAAGTTGAAAAAACTGACGGGAGGGGACGGAATAACCTTTCGAGCGAAGCCAGAAGAAACTTCCAAGGGAAGTCCCTTTGGTTTGTTTTTTTCCGTCGATGTTGTTTTCCGTGCTGAGCACCAATGCTACCGACGTGCCAGGAAGGCAGCTCCCACACCTGGACCCTACCTATCGACCCATCAACTCATGAACCGGGGACCAACGGCTTTACTTCCCATCCGAAGGAAGGCGTGATCAGAGATGTTATGCCTCAGAACATCCCGGCGGCGCCGACTGGGATTGAACCCAGGCCTGCTGGGATGAGAGGTAATCACGCTTACCACTACACCACCGGCGCCGTTCAAGGGAAGTTGAAATAGCTTTCCATAAGGAATTGGAAAATAATTTACAGGGTAAGGTGGACGGAAATTCCTAGAGAAAGTTGGTAGAACCTTCGAAGGGAAGGTTAAAGAAATTTCAGGAAGTTCAAAAACTAACGTTTTTATGGACCTATTTTTCCACTGAATAAAAATATTTCTCTATTTCCAGAAATTACTGGGATGGAGCCATCAGCTGTTTTTCGACTTCCTCTGAAAATTCAGTGCGGGTAGGCAGTAATCATTTTGATTATTAATAAAAATTCGGTACAAATCGGTATTGTAACTCAAAAATCGGTATTCTGAGAAACCTTATCTGTATATCGGTATCAAGTTTGAAAATTGGTATGTCTGGCAACGCTGGTCGCCACACGGCGTAAACAGTGGGATTGTACTTCACCGCCGAAACGGTATTTCTCTATGGAAAACCAACGTTTTGTTTCACCATGTGTGGTTGTCTACACGGTGAATGAGAACGACTCAAATTTGAGTTTAGTTCACTCATAATCGCCAAAATTGCGGGAACTCAGCGATGAGTAAAATTTGTCTCATGGTTTCCTGTGGAAAACCTACAAAATCTGCCGAAAAATGAGGAAATTGACGAAAATTTTATTCAGTCTTGGAGTAGTACCAATAGACTGAGTGAATCCAATCTATACTTTTCTCAAATTCGGGAATTTTTCCCTGGAAAATCCTGGGAAAACATGAGGCAAATTAACTCATCGCTGAGTTCCTGCACTTTTGGCGATTATGAGTGAACTAAACTCAAATTTGGTTCGTTCACATTCGCCGTGTAACAACAGACAAGAATGCCTTATGAAAAGAGCTAATTTATGATTTTCGTGGTGAACTGAAATAAATCCATACAAATTGAACCAAGTTTCATCGTTTTATACCATGGCAATAATAATACTTTGGTTTCATCAGTTATTTTTTGCTCTTGAATTTGATTGTCCTTTATTACTTTGAGCATAGTCTCAAATTGATAGCAATGTTTAACCTATTAAGCAGGACTTTAATCATAAAAAGCAGATCGCTAGCTTTCATGCTAAAAAATACTGGTTTTTGAGTCAAAAGTTATTATACGTCGTTTGGTGGCTCCGTCAAAGTGTATTTACCAGGATATTCGGGAGAACTATCAATCACGTATCCTTAAGTGCAATCCATTTATCATTTTAGGACCACCGAAATCATCTTAGCGACAAACAGTTCAATTCAGACAAACGGCATCTCCATAGAAATCGGGTGACTTAAGTAATATCGAAAAATATTTAGATCAGAAGGTGATTACGTCAAAAAGCAATTTGACTGGTAAATAATTTAAAAATGGGATGTGATCCTATATTCGGACAGTATATAGTGTAGGAGCACCGATTGACACTGATAGCTTGACTTTGTTTGTTTACCTTTGTTACTTTCGACGTAATGAAAATTTGCTCTTGAAGTACGCTCTTACTCGCTGCAAAACCATTATTTTTTTATTCATCATCGACGATAATCCAGCATTTTACGAGCGCTTATGGCCGCCACAATCTGGCTGACTTTTTGGTAGGGAACATATGATTTGACGTTTGGGTTGTGTCGTTTGACGGGTAAACGTTCAAATTTGATCGTTTACACATCAAACGACACAACCCAAACTTCAAATCTTATGTTCCATGCCCGAAAATCAGCCAGATTGGGGGGGCCATAAGCGATCGTAAAATACTGGATAGCAATAGCGTTGAAATCGTCGATAGTATTCTCGCTCAATTTTCATTTGTTTCGATTAATTCGATGACAAACACATATTTTCGTGTTACAAATCATGTTAAACTGGTGAGCGCGCGACAATGAGATGAATTTTAAGCTTGGATTTTATTTATTGTACATCATTTCCGCATTCGCCCTATATAGATAATCCTTCTGAAACTTGTGAGTTTGACAGAACCACCAGCACCACATTGTCGGGGTACACTGGCAGTATACTGGAGTTGTCAAGTTGACCCCGGGTTGATTGGCTCACACTGGACTAGCCTATCGGTCCCAAGTACATCGATGAACGTACCCCATCTTGTCGAAATTCCCCTTGTCGCATGCTTTAAAACCTCAATAAAACTTGCAATGTTGCTTGGGTCTTGTACCTACTACACTATATTTATTTTGATTCACTATGAAAGTTTGACAGATAAAATGAGGGGTTCGTAGATTTTCCTATGTTTCGAGGGGTGCATCGATTAGCTTGGGACCGAAGAGAGTACCAAAGCTGAGCCAAAAAGTTGAGCACGTTTTTTCGGGACCTGCTGGTCTTAGAGTTACCTCTATGATTCGCCTATCTTATGAAGCTAGTTCGTCGAATTTACTTTCAGCAAAAATGTTCTTTTGAGAATTGAACTCTGAGGGTTGACCCAGCCTAACTCAACTCTTAATTTATGGACAATCCTGGGTAACATTCAGCTGTTTTTTTATATGGTTAAGCTTATCACTCATACTAATTTTTCTCTTGAAAAAAAGATGGCAGCACTTATTATGCGGCGATATATTGTAACTACCATCAATTAAATTGCTTTGATTCTTCGTTATCAAATGAACCGACTTTTTCCACATAAACGCATGTAATGTAATTCATCACAAACTGACCGCGGTCCAACTCGGTACCCTGCTCGCCATTCACTCGGCGGCTTCATCCATGCACTTCTCGGAACCACTAGCAGCTAGACGCGGACTGCGCACCGGTCACCCATTAGTACCAACCTGTGAAATAAACAAATTATCTCTTTAGTTTTAATTAAATTATTGGATCGCAAACATGGCAATTGGATTATCGCCGTTGCCTTCCTTTCGATTGTTCGTTCCTTTCCGTTCCGAAAGCGCTCTCTCTAGCTTCTTCCGTCTCGACTGACTCATCACGCATATCGACTTCGACTCCCTCCTCACGTATCCGTAACCGGTCCAAAGTAGCGCAAAGTAGTTCAACTAGTTTCTTTCCTCCATACTTCAAACCATTCCAGTTTTTTCGATCGAAACCGAAGACTTCGGAGGCAAAGATTAAGTTTCGCATTATGACCAACTGGGTGAGCAGCGAGGAACACGTCACACAGGCTCCGGGTCTCCAGCCCCAGCAAAGCTAATTGATGACACTGGCAGCAGACGAAATCAAAATGTGCAATTAAATTCGTGTAACAAATCGTCACTTTCACCAATACAAATGTAGATTGTATTTCGAGTCCCTTCCCAGTCCAATCCGATCCCTTCGATCCTCACATTTGTACAGACCAACAACCACCACCAGAGAAGTAGAGATAAGAAACTAAGTTTGTGAATTTAATCTGAGTAAATACTACTGGGAAGGGAAGCCGATCGTCATCGTAGGATGTAAGCAAATTTTATTCGTTTCATTTCCGCAATATTAAATCAAAGGTGTACATATTTTATTATCTTTATGTCTAAGTCGAATCTTTTATATATACAAACAAAAATATACGAAGGAATAACATAACAACAAACAACCAGCTCTAGTAGTATACATAAAGTGAATCAAAGAATCTTGTAAATAGTTTTATTATTTTTCTAATTTCTATCAGGGGCATAGTTAAAACGAACCATTCCATCTCATTATGTAAAAAAAAAAAAACAAGTTGGGAAAACAAAACTGGAGCAACCTAGCAGCCGAATTACACAAATCAAACCTTAACCAGTAAATATTATTTTCCCAAACCATCGTTTTCCTCTAGGGCTCATAAACACAGTTAACTTCAAACTTTCAAACTAAAAGAATCGTAGAACACACACACACACACCCACAGATAAACAAACCCAAAACCAAAATGATTCTGAAGTTGATTTCGAATACTAAACGTAGGTCATACATAAATATCCTCTTTTATCAGCTCTGAATCGGTAGTTAGACACATTTTTATATTTAATTGAATTGCCATTCAAGACATGTTCGGAAAGAGAAAATCTCAATTTTATTCTTTTGTAGAGAATCGATTCCGAAAACAAACGACAAAAAAATCAAAACAAGGAAAATCACACCCTCAAAAACATAAAAACAAACCAGAAAGCCACAAACAATTGTGCACAAAGGGAGAGAAAAATGTGAAAAAATAATAAGCTAAGTGAAGTAAATTATAACGAAAAACAAAACAAAAACAAGAACGGAACGAAAGGTTTTAGGAAAGTGGGGAAAAATTCTCTTATATAAATTGTAATACGATGCTAAACGGAAGAAGCATGTTGCACAAATACATCAGCACACACACCCACACCCACACGCACACAAGCACACACACCCAAGTGAAGTGTGCGAGTGCGAACCGAACTAAGCAAGAGTAAATAGTAGCAGAGGAAGCGCGCGAAACGCGGTGTTCTGTGAGCATTAATTTAAACAATAATTTAGCAACTCTCGTTTTTTGTCATAAAGTATGAAAATTGAATAAAAACAAGGAAATAAATCAATTAAGTGTTTTAAAAATTCATCTCGATGCGGGTGTTTTGTGTTTCTCTTCCTTTTTTCCGGAGCGAAGCTTTGTGTCAGCCGAACTGTTTTGAAGAAGCCCTAGTTGGTGAAAAAGGCAGTGACTGTTGCTCTATTTCTTTTGGATCGACTGAGAATGGAACAGCAAAGGGAAGGTGAGAGAATGGAAATATGAGTGTGCTGATAAGAAGATGATGCGCCAGGTCGTAAGAAGTGGATGGGTGAGAAATATACGTGAGTGATATGTGAGTGAGTGAGGAGTTAGCTCTAGACCAACAATAGACTTCTCTGACGTTTATGAAATGCACAAGTATTAGTGCAGAACTCGGGGTAAATCATAAGTATTAGTGCAAGAAAACCTTTGAATTTACCCAAAGTTCTGCACTAATACTTGTGTAATTCACCAACGTCAGAGAAGTCTATTGAAATAGACGGAACAACCAAACGTAAACAATGGCTTTAATCGCAAATTTCTGGAGAATCAAAATACACTCATGCAAACTAACAATACCATTCGATAAAGGAAGTTTGCTCTATCAGATGGTGTGTTAGATTGCGTGGATGTGTTTTGATTCTCGAGAAATTTGCCATTAAAGCCATTGTTTACGTTTAGTTGTTCCACCCAGGGATGGAAAATCATTTACATTCATTTCGTGCATTCATTTACATTCATTTGCCTCTAACTTTTTTCATCAACAGAATACCGTAAAATGAGGTATAAAGTTTTTGTAGCTTTTGATATGAACTACAGCTTTTGCTAATAAATAAAATCTATATCTCTTATGCATGACGAAATAGAGCTGGCAGAACATGTTATTGTTTTTCAGTGAATCCAATTTACATTCACTGAAAAACAATGGTGGGTTCTTATCGCTCTGATTGATCATGCATAAGAGATGCAGATTTGAGTTGTTTATAAAAGATGTAGTTAATATTAAAACCTACAAAACCTTCAAACACTATTTTATGGTATTCTGTTGATGAAAAAAGTTAGATGCAAATGAATGTAAATGAATGCACGAAATGTATGTAAATGATTTTCCATCCCTGGTTCCGCCTATTTCAATTGTTGGTCTAGAGTTAGCTTATTAATGCATCAAATTTTCCTGAGCAACACCAGAGGTTTTCAGATAGTTGTTTAATAAGTGTCAGTTGTCCGGTAAATATTAGTGACTTGGATACAATTAAGGGGGAACACCTGTTGAGATCTCCAAAACAAGGATATTTTTTGTTAATTTTTTAAGAACATTAGACTATACCCAAGTAACCAAAAGTTCCGCATTCAACGATAAAACTCACTTCTAAGCTCCATAAAGTTCAAATAAAGTTCCGACAGAACCCTCAAGTTCAATAAAGTTCTAATAAAGTTCTGACAGAACTTTCTTCCCAAGCAACCGTATTCAACGATAAAACCCACTGCCAAGTTCCATAAAGTTCCGATGCGTACTCCTAGCAACTGGAAGTTCAAAAAAATTCCAAAAAGCATCCCTAAGCACTGCTGAGGAACTTCAGGCAAGGCTGAAAAGATGGCCACAACAAAGTTCCGAACAAGTTCTCGGCGGAACTTCTTAGGCAACTTGAAAGTTTCTAAAAAGGTCCGTCATAGCCCACATGAAGCAATCCGCACAAGTCAAATATGAAATGATCAATGGCTCAAATAAATCATAATTCAGTGCCGCCATTTCAAAGGGGCGTAATTGCATTTGTAAACAATGACTGTAGTCTTCGATTTCTCGCGAATAAAAGCTCACTCATGAAAAATAATGACACCAGCAGGTAGATGATTGTTTCCTCTACCAACTAATTTTGGAGAGGTAAGATTTCATTCGCGAGAAATTGACGGCTGAAGTGATTGTTTATAAAAGCAATTACGCCCCTTTGAAATGTTGACACTGAATTCTTTTATTTATGCAGTGCATCAATATTCTATCCAAACATAAAAAGTTTATTGAGCAATTATAAATATTAATATTGGATTCGAAACCTGTGTATTTGGCACGCGATCTACGAACCAGTGTTGCCAGATATACCGATTTATCGGTATTTATACCGATTTCCGATCTAGATACCGATATACCGATAAGGTTCCTCAGAATACCGATTTTTGAGATTTTATACCGATTTGTACCGATTTTTTTTTAAATAACCAAAATTATTATTGCCTGCCCGCGCTCGAATTTCGGAGAAAATTTTTGTGAGAGACTTGTATCTTTTTGAATACCTCATGTTTTTTGAGCCTTCAAAATTCAAAAAATCATCTCTAAAAATGCCTTATGATTGATACTCTTTTGAATAATGTTTGTAATTCCTCCTTTTGATTGACTACCCATCAATCGAGAAATAGTCGATGGCTCTTTCCAGTATTTCCTAAAGAATCGAGAAACATTTTTCAATTGTTATTTAAATTCCGGACGTTTTATTCATTTTTTTTATCTTCCTGAAACTTCATCCAACTTTCCCTGGAATTTTCTTCCACCTTACTTTGGAAGCTTATCCAGCCTTTGCTCGAATGATGCTTTCATCTTCTCCCGCCAGTTTTTTTTTAACTTTCCCGGATTCAAGGAGGCTATCTGATTTTTATTGTGGATCCACACTAGCTGCAGGAACATTAAGAAGCTGTAAGTTTCGATAAATTAAAGACAGTTCCATAAACTTATGTTACCCGGAAATTTCAGAAAAGTCCAGCGAACTCCAGTGTACTTAAGGAAACATCATAAATATTTTGGAAACTAGTCCAAAGAACTTCAGAAACATTTAATGGATTTCAGGAACTTTAGTGAAGCTCAGAGAACATCAGGGCAGATCAATTTATTTCAATGAAATTAAATAATTAATTAATTTATCTTTATTAGGCAGGCTTTCAGCCTGGGGCTGGTTCGCCTCCATTTCAATGAAATTGTTGAAATTATAAAGAAGTTCCAAGAAACTCAGGAAATTTCCGAAAACTTCAGCAATGGCTGTGTCGATAACTTTTAAACATTAAAAAACCGGGAAGATCAGAGAACTTAAAAGCGGATGTTACAATAAATTCCATGACCAAAGGATGACCAGAGAACTCCAGGACAGACCCATATTTCAGGAAAATTACAAGCACTTTTAAGAAATTTCGAGGAATAAGGGAATATTCCTTAGTGCATTTCAGGAATGTTCCGAAAACTTGAGGAAAATTGCGGAGTCTTCAGAGATGTTTTATGAATTATGTACTTGTTTCTTTCAACTGTTCCGTAAGCACCTTGGTTTTCGACTTTCTTCAGATGTTTCTTCCAATCTACTTTAAGAAGTTTCTGCCAGCGTCTCCAGAATGTTTCTTTCGTATTCTCCAGGAAGTTCAGTTCATTCTCCCAGAAATTTATTTTGTCTTCTTCTGGAAGTTTGACCATAAGCCAAAAATTATAATTTTACCACTTTAGTCTGTTATTTGAAATTAGCATCTTCAACTACATAAGCCAAAGTTTTTTTTTTGTTTTTTGTTTGACTTTTATTGGAAGATTTTATCCGAGCTTCATCTGGATTTCCCTGGAAATGGCTACTTCTGGAAATTTACTTCCGGTTTCTGAAACTTTTCTGGCTTCCTGTGGATGTGACATGCGATTTTTTTCCGATAGGTTATTTAAATTTTCGCCACAAGTTTCTCAATTCGTGTCTTGGAAGTTTCCCAGCTTTTCTCGAACTTCATCCAGAAGAGCTTCTTTCGTCTTTCTCTGGATGTTTTTAGCTCCATTTAGAAGCTTATTCAAACATTCCTCGGAGTTTTCTTCCGGAATTTTCCGATCATAGTTCAAAAGTTGAAATTTTGCTTTCATTAACGGCTTTCTGTTTGTTAATTAACTGTAACGACCTTGATTAACGAAAACACTGCAACGACTACGATGTAATCTGCCCGACATTTTGGCCATGGGTTGTGGCCTTTTTCAAGTGAAAATATTGTTTGTCGTTATTGTCAATAGAACAGCAAAAAAGGTTATCTTCCATTTAATTCCACTTAATTAATTTTGGTATCCATGACAGATACGTATTTCGACTACAATGTGCAATCTTCATCAGTGTCATTCCCACTAAAGAACTTATCAAAATCTAACCCCCTTAAGTACTCATCCCTTTAGGGGTTAGATTTTGATAAGTTCTTTAGTGGGAATGACACTGATGAAGACTGCACATTGTAGTCGAAATACGTATCTGTCATGGATACCAAAATTAATTAAGTGGAATTAAATGGAAGATAACCTTTTTTGCTGTTTTATTTAGCATTCCTCTAACAACCCAATTTCATTACTTCATTGTCAATAGTTTAGTCGTTGTCGTGGCTAATTTTCCATATTTTTGTTCATTTAATTATTTTAAATTGAAAAAGCTACTTCGTTATAATTTTGAGCATCACTTGAGAACAACGCTAATTTTAAAAATTAAATTAAAATATTAAAGAGTTTTTATACTGAGAAAGCTGTCAAACAAAGCAATTCACAAAGCAGTCGTCACCATTGTTAAAATTTTCGCTTTCAAAGCGGCAAAAATATAAAACTAAATAAATAGTAAATACCGATAAATACCGATTTTTAATACCTTTGATACCGATAAGCTTTAAAACATTCTGGCAACGCTGCTACGAACGCTAACCACTGTACCACAAGGAGGGTGGCCAAACCTACCGATTCACAGACGAAAGGTTAAAAACTACCGAATTCTCACTTTTCCTACCGAGAATCACAGATTTTTAATAAAATGAAAAACGTTCAATAGGGGAAATGTCGGCTCTGACAATACCTTAACCTATCATCGTCAGGGGGCAAACAAAGTCCTAGAGCACTCAAATTTGGCTAATAGATGCTCTGAAACACAATGTATCCACATGCGAAAATTGAGCTCTCTAGGACGTTGTTCACCTCACTGACGATAATAGAACACACAAAGCAAAATTTCAACAAATTTGAAAGAATTTACCATACACACTTAGAAATAACTTATTTTATACGAGACGGAATCAATATTTGACATAAAGTATGAAAAATA